GTCTTGGATGGTAAAGAGTGTGAACCCTCTCGCCTTCCTGGCAGCTGTCCCCACAGATGGAGTCACCTGGTAACTGGCTGGATTAAGAGTTGAGGACAAGGTTTCCAAGGCAGGAGCTGGTCGGGCCCAGACATTTGGGGAACCTGACAGACACGGGCTGGCTCCGGAGGCCCAGAACCCCCAGACAAGGGGCCAAAGAGAAGCTGAGGAGACCAGACCACAGTCCCCAGGGGAAGGGGCTCCCACCAGGGCTCTCGGGGGTGGGTCTGGAAGTCCTCGAAGCTCCGTGGCATCCTTCCTGGCCTTGCTGTTCATCTGGGCAAGGAGCCAGTGATCTCTCTAGAACAGAGCTGTCCAGAACTGGGCCTGGCATTTGAGAAACCACAGGGAGACGGAGCCTGCTCTGCCTTCCCAAGTCCTCAGCTTGCTGTCACTGGCCTTTGACATGGGTCAGAGATGTAATTCACTGCATTTCAGGAGCAGGGCTTGAGACGACCTCGGGAGGCCTGGGGCGATCCCCGAGGACGTGAGAAGTAAACGCCCATCTGAGCCACACCTCCTGACACGCCCTCCTCATTTAGGGTCCCGTGGCCAAGGGGAAGCGAGACAATTCGGAGGGAGTGTGTGTGCGCACGGAAGAGAAGGGGAGAGTACTTTCAGTGACACGGCTTGCCTGCTCCTGTCTGCTCAGCCTTACCTTGCCCCAGCAGTGGCATGGAAGGGTCATCAGAGCTACTATCACAGTAATCATTACCATCCTCCAGCTCACTGTTGACCGTGTTGCCATTTGCAATGGTCTTTTGTTTGACTGTGAAAAAGGCCTGCAGCTTCACATTGTACCTGAAAGTCAGTTAAGGCGGGAGGTCAGAGCTGCAGGATAGGCTGGGCAGGGCCCTCCCCCACCTCCTTCCCCTGTGCACCTGCCGTTAGCGTGGCCCTGGGGGAGCTGGTGGGGGGGCTGAGGCTTTTCAACCCAGCTGACAGAGGCTCCTGACAGGAACCTTGGGATAATGTGCAGTCGCAGGGGGCCTGCTCCTCCTGAGCGGGCCTCCTGGGGCCATAGGAGACCTTCAGCCCAAGAAAATGACTGACGTCTACCTCTGCACGCTATAAACCTGTCCTGACCAAAGAAGTTCAGCCCAGCCTCAGAACAGGCTCGAAGCAGGTGTTCCCAGGCCTGGCTGGCCTTGCTCCCGTGGGCTGCCTGGGGGCCCTTCCCTGTACCATCCCAGCCAGCGCTGCTGCCCACACCGAGAACAGACTCCATCCCCGACCCCAGGCTGGCGGCCCCACTGCAAGGCACTCAGAGAGGAGACGGTTTAAGGACCATTCTCTTGCAGTTTGACAGCTTATCACCCATTTTTATAAAACATTATAAACGTTTTAGGTCAACGGGGGGATTCATAGCATCGTAAACCTCAGTGGTGTTTTCCTTTTTAATTACCTGCGGAGGTGTGAGGAGAAAGTTACAAACTTGAATGTGGCTTAGCTCGTGGGTAGCCTTTTTTTTTCTTTTAATTGTAGAGAATACATACCACATAAAATTTGCCATTTTAACTATTTTCCATTTTTAAGTGCACAATTCAGTGGTAGTAATTACAGCCGTAAGGCTGTGCAACCATCACCACTATCTAGTTCCCAAATTTTTAGTATCCCGAACAGAACTCTGTTCCGTTCACCATGAGTCATTAATTACTCCCTCCCCCAAGCACCTGGTAATCAATCTCTAATTTGCTGCCTGCCTCTAGGAATCTGAGTCTCCTCAGTACCTCACATAAGTGGAACCGCACAGTATTTGTCCTTTTGTGACCGGATCCCTTTCACTCAGTATAATGTTCTCAAGGTTCATCCACATTTGTGGCATGAGTCAGAAGGTTCATCCACATTTGTGGCATCCACATTTGTGGCATGAGTCAGTTTTTATGGCTGAGTATTAATTCATCATGGGTAGTTTTGAGATGATTCTGACCTGGGCAGCTTCTGGAGGGCCTCAGGGTACACAAGCCTGGCGCCAAGGTCTGCATCTTTACAACTACGAGTGGTGCCCGGTGCAGGTGCGCAAGGTGGCAGCCCCGAGAGGTGGCAGTTTATGAAGTCTGACAAAATGGAGGTGCCCGGCTCTTTCAAAAGAGTGGCATTAAATAATCAGGTGATTTATGGAGTCAGCACAAACGAGCGGTCACCCTGGGGCACGGGCCAGGGGTGTGGACGGGGCTGGGAGAGAGGTCCCCGCTTGCTATTTGTTTTGGGAGGGGCCTCAACCGCCCCCCGACCAGCCAGCCACCTACCCCCGCCCAAGTGCAGACAGCACCCTAACACAGAGTCTGACTATCTCTCTCCCACTCTGGCTGCCCCAGCAGGGTGTCCCCCAGAGAACTGGGGTGGCCAGAAGTGACCGCAAGGGCTGAAGGAGGTTTTCTTCCTGCTCGGACAAAAGGCTAAAGCAGGATGTGAAACCAGGGGTGAGACAGCCCAGAAGAGGAGAAAGGGCACTTACTTCATGATCAGAATGTAAAACACGTACAAGATGATGAGCACCAGGCCTTCCCACCTCAAAGACAGAAAGGAGACTGGTTAGAGCCAGGAGGCCCGTGGCACTGAAGGCTGCGAGTGACCAGCGCGGCGGGCGGAGCAGGGTGCGTGGTCCTGTCACCTTCCTTGACCCAGCGCCCGGCCCAGGACCCAGGCATGCGGGCGAGCCCCCCAGCCCCCAGCCGTCCTGGAATCTGAAGCTCGAGAAGGCTGAGGGTCGGGCCTTCTAAACTACAGAGGGTCTCATCTACACGGCTCAGGAGGAGTTTCCCCAGCTACCTAGAAAAAGGAGGGCCCAGGGCCACCTCATCCCAGACTCAGGGAGGGGAGTAGCCTGCAGTCATGACGCTAAGAGGCCCTATGGTCACCTGAGATTCTGACCAGCGACAGGAGAAGCTGTGGGTGCAGGTGGGAAGGGACCCTAAGAACTGCCTGAAGAGATGGGCCAGTCACAGGAGCCTCTTGGGCCAAACACGGGGGCTGGGCTGGGTGGGGGTCTTTCTGGGGTGCACTCTTATCGCCGTCCTGCAGAACCAGCGTTCAACCCCACACGTGGTGGGGATTTTTGTAGCTCAGAACACAAGCCTCTGAGGAGTCACACAGCTTAATTTCTTGGGTCATCTTACAAGTGTGTCCTGAAGACCTACTATGTGCCCGACATGAGCTACAGTCATCTTGGGGAGCTCTTCCTCTGCTAGCCCACAGCCCAGCAGAGCCACAAAGGGGTCTGTAGATGACCCGACCACCCCCTCAAAACTCCATCTGCAGATGAGGAAAAGGAGACCCAGAAAGGGAGAGACTTCTTGGCTCACACGGTGGGTTAGGACCCAGAATTAGGATGCTCTGGGCCCATAGCACGCAGCTGCTCGCATCAGTTCTCCTGAACCTATGCCCAACAAATAACCACATACAGGATGCAGATCTGAATTATGGTCAATGAAGAGAACCATTTTTATGGCTTATGGATGTAAGATACATTCATACCCTATAAATTAGTGTGGCAATATCAACCTCTTTAGAAGTTTGTGCTTTACGTATCTTGATTAAGAAATCACTTCCTACCTCCATATCATAAAGATGAGTCCCTATATTCTACCCTAAATTGTTTTAATTTTGCTTTTCACAGTGAGATCTTTAATCCATCTGGGATTTATTCTTGTATAAGGTGTGAGAAAAGGAGCTGATGTAATTTTATTCTACATGAATTCCTCGTTTTTGTAGTATGAGGACCTCTCCCGCCTCCCCCAATTTACCACCTTGTCATGATTCCTGTCGTATCCCCCAGCCCAGAACTGGGCCCATTACTGGGTTCTCAGTTCCATATTGGCCTACGCTTATCCCTGTGCAAAACACCATACTGTTTTCATTATTTTAGCTTTATAATATATCTTGATATCTGGCAGGGTGGGAACACTAAGGGAAACAATCTGTGTCACTTTGAAAGGATAAATAAAGGCATGACTGCTTAGAATGATACCCTTTTTACTTTCACAAGTTCATAAACTTATGTTTGCAAAAATAATTTTAAAAAAGATTCAATGCACCCGACAAGCAAGGATACTAACAAAAAAGGAACAACGAGAAACAAACTTTAAAAACTTACCACACAATTTCTTCATCATATATGAACTGGAAGGCAAAAGAAACAAAGGGCGGGGCAACAGATTTACTCCAAAAGAAGAACAAACGCAGACCTCTAAGCACCCAGAGCCAACACATAGTCTAGTTATGTGTTTCACAGAAAGCTGGCTCTTCTCTCCATGTCTGGGTTTCCCAAACATAGAAGGTGACCTTTCCTTAGTGGAAACCTTGGTCAGTAGATGCTGCAGTATGAGGTCTAGGGTGGGTCTCCAAAGAGAACTGCCCTGTGCTACCAACAGTCCAAGTGGCCACTGGGGCCAACCTGGCAGGGGTCTGCCCTCATTAATGGAACAGAGTTGCTGAAATCAAGACTCTTAAAAACTGAAAAGGCATCTCTGTATGTATGTATGTTTGTGTCTATTTACCTACTTACCTATCTATCATCTATCTACCTACCTATCTATCTATCGATCGATCAATCTGTGGTACCTCTGTGTGTGTGGGTGGGGAGGAAGGGGTGTCATTTGTTTTAAAAATAAAGAGTAACCCCTTTGGAAACTCTGAGGGCAAAGAACCCATTTGTACCATTTGAAGGGAGGCCAGGGGTGATGGTGGGGATGCTGTGGCTTCCTAAGAGGGCACTGACATTGCCCAACAATTCCACCCAGCATTTTCTACGTGGGACATGGATGAATGATGCTTCCATGGTCCAGGGGAGGAGTCCTGTGATCGCCCCAGCCGGGCCCAGTGCACACAGGAAGGTGGAGAGGCAGTGCCCACCAATCTGATCTTGGAGACACGGGATGCCAGGAGAGACCAGGGGGATGTTGTCTGGACTTGGGCCCATTGGACCCCTCTCCTGGCTGTCATGGCAGGCAGCACACACAGAATCTGCTTTGGGAAGTCACTTTGGAGAGGGTCCTCCTGGCTGGGCATTGCTGTGAGGCTCCCCAAACTCAAGCCTCTGAGGAAGAGGCACTCAACAGTGGGGAGCCCAGTGCCACCACCTGGGAAACCTGGGGGACATTTATGGGGACAGTTTCAGCTTTTATAACCCAGTGGAGGGCTACTGGCATTTAGAGGCAGTGAAGGCCCGGGGTGCTAGCCAGCCTAGAGCATGTGAAATGGTTCCACCAGAGGAGTTCTTCCGTATTTGGCACACGTCTTAAATGTCCTGCTAGATATTTAGGCAAGCAGAAAAAAAAAAGAAATGACATGAGCCTCAACCTTAATTCCATTTTGCAAATCAAAGCAATTTTACATGGTTTTAATAAATACTTAATTTTCTAGTGAGTTAACTGTCATGCAAATGGAGGGATGACTGTACTTGGCTCTGTTTAGGATTTTATCAGGAGTCATTCATAATTCTGGAAAATCACATCATCAAGGTCGGCACCATTCATGGGGTTGCCAGCCCAGCATACCAGCCTCAGTCTGCACTGGTAGCTGTAGGGCCTGGAGATTTCCCATATGGGGGCAATGGATCACATCATTCAGCATTCTAGCACCTTCACGCCCAAACATTTACACATTGAAAGATGTATTCTTTTATTATGAATTACCTTTATTTGTCCTTTATGGTATAGTTTGGGCATTATATTGATTTTATAAAATTGTGTATAGGTAAATAGTTTTATCTATAACTTTCATTTTTGGGGGGTGTGGTGGGCAGCCTCTCAGGTGCCCCGATGATCCCACTGCCTGATCTTCATGCTCGCCTGTGTGCGTGGCCTGAATTTAGGGATCTGTTCGTAACAGAATATGGCAACAGTGACGGGCTGTCACTTCCGAGGTTCGGTTGCAAGCAGACTGTGGCTTTCAGCTTGGTGCCTCCTCGCCCCTGCTGGGAGGGAAACCAGTCCTCATGCCGAGAGCTGCACTGTGGAACAGCTCGAGGCCGGCCTGCAGCCTAGCGAGTGATCCTGAAAGCAGATCGTTGCCCACAGGAGCCTTGACATAACTATACCCTGGCCGACACCCGTGAGCCAGAGGGCTCAGCTAAGCCACTCCCAGATTTGATGCACAGAAAATGGAAGCAAGAAAGGTTTGCTGTTTTAAACTGCTGAGTGTTAAGGGAAATTTGTTACACAGCAACAGATAACTAATACAAGGGTCATGATTATCAAATCCAGTTGGCTCTAGATGTTCTTAGGTTGAGAACTGTCACTCTAGGGCACGCTCCATACTCTGAAATCTGGGCATATGCCATGTGCCTCTGCCCTCTTGAAAATGACCTGCCCTCATGCCGCCACTTTAAAGCTCCTTTTGGATGGAAGCTGTTCCCCTGTGGATGACATGGTCCTTCCTTGGCAGTAACCTGTGTCATGGGCTGTGTCACTGTCATGTGCCATGATGTACCCGAGCCCTCAGGGATCCCTGTTTCAGTCCCTCTGCCTTTTCTGCCCATATTCTTGCTCCCAGCTGCCAACCCTGATTGCTCCCAGCTGGCCTCTCTTCCCTGCTCCGCGGTAAGGTGGGACACCAGAAACTCTGCTCTTTAGTAAATGGGCTCTAAGTGAGGAACTGAAGGCCTCTGATGAGCATGTGCTTGAGCTTAACTGCATCAACCGTTCGATGCCTTCTTTAGCTTTTTCATGTGCCCTCAGGGTGGCACCTGGATGTGATGGATAAGCAAAGCATCTGGTATGAGATTTTCTGGACAGGGAGGCACGGTGGTGGGAGACTGGTCAACATGACTGCAACGAGTGGGCAGCACACCCCAGGGTAGGGGCGCTGTGGGTTCTCTGTTTCTAGTGCCAGGGACAGAGGTGGGCAGGGCCCCGGTGCCTTCGCAGGGGCGGCGGGCGGAGGGGGGAGAAGGTAACTCACAGCAATGAGCACGACGACAGAGAGGGTGTAGTACACAGAGTCTCGGCACACGGCCCACCACGTCAGACGGATCACCTGCTGAGCAAAGGGATATCAGCTGTTACTGGCTGGGGAGATGGGGTACGGGGGCCGGGGGACACTGCTGGGGGGCTCCCACCACCCCCAGACCCCTGCAGGTGCAGACACATATCCACGGAGCTCATCTTAACTGTGCCAGCAGAACCACATCTTGTCTGGCCGTTCAAGGCCACCCTGTGCTCTTTGTCACATTTGGGGACGGAATGATACCACATAATGTTCCTAAGTGATGGCAAAGCTGCCCCCTGTTCCTCCAAGGTGACCACATGGCATGTTTCCCAGCAGAAGCCATGTGTCGGGGGAGAGGCCAGAGACACTCACTCTTCCCTCCGATGTTCGAACCTTCCGGGGGTGATCGGCTGCCTACCTCTACCTCCTTTGGCCGGGCGGGGCCTACCCTTGAGCCTGACTCTCTGAGACTGAGTCTAATGTACCCCTGGGGCTCTGAGGACCAGGAAGATGCGATGGGGTTTCAACAACAAGCCAGCTTCGTGCGTCCTGTGGAGAGGCTGAAGGCGGGTCCCAAATATGTGCAAAGTCTAGCTCAGGGTCAGAGTTACAGGAGACGCCTCTTAGATATTTACTGCTGTTCAATGAACGCTCCCCGCTTGGACCAGCCACGGAGCTGACGCTCTTTCTGCTCTCAGACCCACCGGTGGAAGGAAGGTAGGAGAGCCCTGCTACACGTGAGGAAGCAGGCTCGGAGAGGAAACCGTTTCTGACAGCCACAGCACTTACGGGCTTGGCTAGGGCTGGGCCTTGGGTCTCCCCGCGCTGCCCCTGTGTCATTTCGTACGGAGAGAGAGACCACTGACCTGCCCTGCGGATAATCCACAAACTCCGATTATACACAGGATGTTGAACACAGCAGAGCCCACGATGGTCCCAACCCCGACATCTCCGTGAGTGATGAACACACCTGGAAAGAGAAAGGCACAAACACTCCTCTGCAAAGCCCAGGCCTTCCCCTTCCTTAGACCTGGGCCGGCTCTGTGTCCCCCACCCCATGAACGGAGGGAAGCTGTTATTACCAGAGAACACCAGCGACGCGGTTGAGGACAGCAAAACCAGAGGTGGAGGTGCCCTCAGGGACCGGCTACTCTAATGCTCCCACTTTCTGAACAGCTTTATTAAGATGTAACTCACATGCCATAAAATTCACCCATATAACTCAGTGTTTTCTGGTCCAGTCACAGAATTATACAGTCTAATTTTAGAACGTTCCCTTCACCCCCAAAAGAAACCCCATACCTGTTAATACCCCACTGCACCTCACACCCCTGGGAACCACTAATTCACTTTCTATCTCTCTACTTCTCCCATTTTACGGATGAGAAAACTGAGACTCAGAGCTGACAAATGCCCACACTAGTCTGGACACCAAACCTGGGCTCTCTCTGCATCCTGCGTCTTGGGGCGACGGGACTTCTTACCAATTACAGAGGCAAACAGCTCTGGCGTCGAGCTTCCTGCAGCCATGAAGGTGGCTCCGGCCACATCTTCGCTCAGATGGAGTTTCTGAAACAGAAGCGACCGCAGACCCTCAGGCTGTAAGGTGGGGGCAGTAAACATGCTAACTGGACACTTGGCAGCCAGGGAGAGCGCAGGGGAGCAGCACGGTAGCCAGAGTCAAGCTCCTGGGCTGGCGGCCTCTTCTCCCTGCACCTCCTCCACATTGCCAGGCACTGAACCCAGAATCGCCTGTCCCCTTCCCCCATCTGTCCGTTTCTGTTCACTCTCTGAGCCCTTAAATAACGTCTCCTTGATGAAGTCTTTCTAAGTGGCTACCACGAGCCAGCCACTCCCCTGGGACAGAGGAGCTGAAACACGAATCACGCAGTGAGGGTCTGAGGTCCATGCGCTTGCCTCCCCACTGGATGACGAGGACGAGGTTGGTCTTTTTCATCTTTGGATGCCTAGAACAGGGTCCGGTGCTCAGCGGGGAGTCCACCAGTTTAGCGCCCATCTCCTCTGGTGCTCACACAGACCTTGGGTACCCAGCGGACCTCCACACATCAGGCTGTGGGATGTGGAGGCCTCGGACGCACAGCCTGGCTCCTGCAGCCCAGAAGGCCTTCTCAATGGCAGGCCCGACACTGAAACTGGCTGCTCACTGAAACAGACCCTCACATCCTGTCCCCAGGGCTGAGCCAGCACGGGACAGGGCTGGAACTGTCAAGGCCCACTCTGCTTGGCAACACTGTGTTCTGGCCACAGAGGCCCATCCTCTGATCTGGAATGTGGGGCTGGAGGCTTCGGGTGCTCGGGAAAACCACAGAGATTCTGGGTCTGCCTGAATGCCAACTTGAAGGTGCCCACCTGTGGTTCTCAGAAGGCCCCTGGGCAGGCTGGCTCAGGGCAGGGTTCGGCCTCCTCCTGCCCTCACTCCCAAAGCACTCCTGGGCAGCCTGGGCTCTGAAGCCACTGCGGAATCCAATCCCTGGGCCAGCACAACCTCCCCACTGAGCTTGCTACAGAAGGGGTCCTCGGAAGGGCTGGAGCTCTGGGCTTGATGGAAAATGGGGTGGGGGCCCATCGCTGACCCCAGGAGGAAGCCCGGCCACCTCGGCCCTGCCGCAGAGGAGGTGCCACAGAGGTTCAGCCACTGAAGCACCTGCGATAGCTTTTAGCAGAATCCAAACGATGCTCCACCCTGTCCTGCCCCTCCCTGCCTCTGCCTGGGCCTGCTCCCCGCCCCGCTCCTTCCTGGCCTGGTACCGACACGCCACGTGTCAATCACCCCCAGCCCCGCACCCAGGCTTTTGCCAAAGGGTCCTAAGTCCTTCCCACGTACCTCGCAGATCTTCTCTAGAGACGGAACAAAGAAGTCATCGCACACTATGGCCAAGGCGTGGAACATGTACAGAGCCTGCGGAGGAAACGGGGAGACAGAGAGTGTCAGCCAGAACCCCTGCCACTGATGGGCACGGCCAGGCGTCCATCACCCTCCAAACCAGCCTGCTCGGGCAGAGGCCAGGTGACCAGAGGGAGGCACAGAGGAAAATTCCAGCACCACAGAGATGTGATTCCTCAGTTCCCTCACTGACAGATGGGGAAACTGAAGCCCAGACAGGAGAAATCACTTGCTGAGCAGCGGAGGGGACTAGAACCCATGCCACAGGGTCCTGTGCTCCTTCCTCTCTTCTTAAAGAAGGAGCTCTCTCTTCAGCACCTCGGTAGGCCCTCAAAAGGCAAGATCCTAATCTTAAGGGCCAAGAGGCAAAGCATTTAAAATTGCCATTTTAAGAGTTTAAAAGAATCATCATCCTGATTTCCCCTCGTTAGTTTTAGGGAAGGCATCATTTCCTTGTTACTGACTGCCCACCTCCTGCCAAAACAGACGGCAACGTGAGACCCAGCCTTTTCTCGGACGCTGCTTGATGTCAGTCCAGGTTAAAATCCACGAGCCATTTACACTGGGAGGCTCATGGAACAGAGTCCATGAGTTAGTGGACAGAGTCCACTAACACTGAACAGAGTCCAGTGCTAATCCTGGGAATTATCTGCCTTGTGATTTTGGATAAGTCACATCTCTAGGTCTCAGTTTCTTCTGTTTGATGACAGGGTAAGAACAGATGGGTAGTTTCTAGACGGTTTTATCTATAGAACTCTTCCCTGACCTGTCCACCCAACACGGCTCTACTGAGCTCATCTTATGTGCCAGGTACTATTCTAGCCATTAGGGATAGGTGGCGAGGATGCCAGGAAAAGCCTCTGCCTCTTTGTTGGGGACGAGCAGGTAGGCAAATGAAGTATCTGTAACTGCCAGGAAACAGCAAGTGCAAAGGTCCTGAGGCAGGAGCATGTTTGTTGCATTTGAGGAACAGTAAAGTCACTGGTGCAGGTAGAACAGAGTGAGAATACGGTGGAAAATAAAGAATGTGACGCTGGAGGGAGAGGCGAGGAGCAGGACCTATGGAAAGGAGATGGGATTTTGCTCCAGGCTCTGGTGGAAGCCATTTCTTCCTCAAAGAAAAAGTGACATGAATGCCCTATTTGCAAAAGCGGGAAAGGCTGGGCTGCTTCAGCTAAAAGAGCGTGATATTATGACAACTTTACAGTTAATTAACTGTTACTGAAGTGGAAGATCTATCAACTGTGACCAAAGCGTCTGAGGCAGATGTCTACTGGAGCAGACATCTACTCTACTGGAGTCCAGGTGTGGCTTTCGCTGAATCTGACACATTATCTTTTGCAGGGGGGAAGGAAAAAGGGAACAAATACTGGCGGTGTGGGTAAAGTGGACAGAGAGAGGTGGGAGAGACCCTGCTACAAAGCTTAGGATACCGACTAGAATTCACACCCTCGGAAGTTCCCTCCAACAGCATCTCCCAGGCAAAGGGTGTCCCGTGAGGCTGAAGGGCCTCTGGCTCCCCTGACGCCTCAGAAACACTGGAGAGAAAAGGGGGCCAAGATGGCACCACTGTTTCCTTCACTTGGGACAGAAGTTCTGAAAACCTTCTTAGTGCTACAGACAAAAACTGGCTCTAAAGCTCCAGCCTTTTCTTGCTCTAAAGAAGGGCTCAGCAAACTTTTCCTTAAAGGGTCAGATAGTAAATATTTGAGTCCCCGCAGGCCACACAGTCTGTCTTGACTCTGGTGCTGGAGAAGCGTAGCCATGGAATGGGTGTGGTTGCATTTCCAATAAAACTTTATTTATAAAAACAGGAGGTAGGCTAGATTTGGTTCTCCAGACATAATTGGGTAATGCCTGGCCTAAAAGGTTCCTTGTGCCCCGGTCCGGGAAGACCCCACGTGCCGCGGAGCGGCTGGGCCCGTGAGCCAGGGCCGCTGAGCCTGCGTGTCTAGAGCCTGTGCTCCGCAACGGGAGAGGCCACAGCAGTGAGAGGCCCGCGTACCGCAAAATAAAATAAAATAAAATAAAATAAAAAAGAATCCACCTGCCAATGTGGGGGACACGGGTTCAAGCCCTGGTCCAGAAGGATCCCACATGCCGCGGAGCAATGAAGCCCGTGCACCACAACTACTGAGCCTGTGCTCTAGAGCCCGTGAGCCACAGCTACTGAGCCTGCACGCCACAACTACTGAAGCCCACGCGCCTAGAGCCCATGCTCCGCGACAAAAGAAGCCACCGCTGGGCTTCCCTGGTGGCGCAGTGGTTGAGAATCCTCCTGCCAATGTGGGGGACACGGGTTCAAGCCCTGGTCCAGAAGGATCCCACATGCCGCGGAGCAACGAAGCCCGTGCGCCACAACTACTGAGCCCGCGTGCCACAACTACTGAAGCCCATGCGCCTAGAGCCCGTGCTCCGCGACAAAGAGAAGCCACCACAATGAGAAGCCCGCGCACCGCAACTCAGAGTAGGCCCCGCTCACCGCAACTAGAAAAAGCCCGAGCGCAGCAACAAAGACACAACGCAGCCAAAAATAAATAAATAAAATAAATTTATTTAAAAAAAATAAAAGAAAGAGAAGCCACTGCAATGAGCAGCCTGCGCACGGCAAGGAAGAGTAGGCCCTGTTCACCTCAACTAGAGAAAGCCCGCGCACAGCAACGAAGACCCAACACAGTCAAGTAAATAAATAAATAAAATTTTTTAAAAAATTAAAAAAAAAATAACATTCCTGCAAAATTCCTGAGGTCCTCTCAGGTTCAGGAAAAAAAGCTTTGTCAAGACTTTGATGAGGCAGAGGGACAGAACTACGGGACTAATTTGCCAAACCCACACCCCCTCAGTGAAAGGAGAGGGCATGGGAAAGCCAGAGATACTAGGAAGATAATAACTCTATTAGAGAAATAATATACAGGTCTGTCACTCAAAATTTGCCCACAACCTTCATTTTCACTAGTGGTTTATCCTGTTAATTAAAACTTCACTCATACATTATTCTCAGGTGGCAACTCTCTATGTGAGAATCCCAGCTTTCACTTGCTTAATTATCTCTTGCAAAGACGAATACTGTGTTGGATTTAAATATGTAAGCAGATGGTGCTGGGTGGTCAGGGAACCACATCAGGAGGAACATTTGTTGTGATTGATGCGAAGGAGAAAATTAAACCCTGAGCACTTTTCATTTCCCTGCAGTAAACAATGGGGCTGGCAAACTTTTCCTACAAAGGGACAGACAGTAAATTATTTTGGCTTTGTGGATCACGGAGTCTCCGACACAGCTACTCAGCTCTGCTAGTGAAGCATAAAAGCAGCCACAGTTGATACAGAAAAGCGTGAGAATGGCTGTGTTCCAATAAAACTTTATTTACAGACATGGGCAGTGGCTGCGGGCTGTAGTTCGCCTGCAGAGAAGAGCGACTTTTACCTATGATTTAGTTTTGAGCTCACTGTACCTTTTCGAAATGCTACTTGAACTCCACCACTGGTCATCAGGCTCATCTAACACTGTGGGAAGTTTGAGAAGAAGGGCACCAAAGTCTTAAACTAGTTATGTCAAGGCAGTAAAATGTGGAGGGATCCCGGGGATCATGATAGCAAGTGGGGACAGAGCCCTTATCACGTGCCCTGCGACGTCTGATGGACTTGACCCGTGTTCACTTGTATTTATACATCTGGGAAAGATGCCGTCGCTCCCATTTCATAAAAGCGGAAAATGAGGCACAACAAGACGTGAATCCTTGTCTCGGCTCTGGGGCCACTCGCTGTGTGACACTGAACAAATCATTTCATATCCTTAAGGTTTCATTTCTTTGTGGTTAAAACACATCCAGCATCTGTTCTCACAGGGCTCTACAAAGACTGGATGAGATCTTTGACACGCTGTGCTCTGAAGACAGGTTTCACATGCCTGAAGTTTAGGGCCATCCTACCCCGAGAGGGCCACTTACACCAAGGATATGCAGCAGGACGGCTCCATGCTGTCGCTCATTATTGGAGAACAGGTCTGCGGGGAACTCATGAATCGCTGGAAGACAAGAGGACATGGTGAGGTATTCAATATTAGTTACCAAGGGGTGTCATTTGAGGTCTGGGTGGGTCGGCCATGGAACTGAAGAGCCCCCCTGGTGTTAGACTGCCAGGGGAGAGGCCAGCTACTTTTCTGTCCAGGGCAGACCTGCACTCTTAGGAAAACATTGCTGGATATGGAATTATCCAGATATTCTAGTACCTTAAAGTTGATCACGTTTTGCATATCCCTTGCAATTAAAAAAAAAAGAATGAAACACTTCATACCCACTAGGATGGCTATAAACAAAAAGACAGATAATAACAGGGGTTGGCAAGGATGGAGAGATACTGGAACACTCATACATTACTAGTGGGAATGCAAAATGGTGCAGTCCCTTTGGAAAAGAGTCTGGCAGTTCCTCAAAAGGTTAAACAGAGTTACCATATGACCCAGCAATTCCACTCCCAAGTACCTTCCCAGAAGAAATGAAAACATATGTCCACACAAAACCCACACACAAAATGTCCGTAGCAGTATTATTCATAATAACCAAAATGCAGAAACAACCCAAACATCTACCAACTGATGAGTGGATAAATAAAGCGTGATATATACATACAAACGAAATATTATTTGGCAATAAGAAGAAATAAAGTACTGATACATGTTACAACGTGGAGGAAGCTTGAGGACATTGTGCTAAGTTAAAAGAAGCCACTCACAAAAGACTACCTATTGTATGATCTCATTAATATAAAATGTGCAGAACAGGCAAATCCGTAGAGATAGAGGTAGATTAATGGTTGCCTAAGGCTGGAGGGTATGGAGTTTGGGGGATGACAGCTAAAAGGTACAGGGCTTCTTTTTGGGGTAATGAAAATGTTCTAAAATTGTTTGTGGTGATGCTTGCACAATTCTGAATATCAAGAGCCACTGAATCGTACACTTTAAACAGATGAATTGTACGGTATATGAATTACATCTCAATAAAGTTACCAAAAAAAGTATAAAGAAGTCAAAAGTCACCAAAGAAGAAAATCGGGATGTTCCTTGTTTTGTCAATGGATTCCAACCACATTCCTCGCAGACAGCTTTCCAAGTGGCCTCAACACACATTCGGATCTGTTACAAACACAATCCCTGCCAACGGTCAGGCTGAGGCCAGGGATGGCTGTCCTGCTTGGGAGGGCAGTCTCCAAGGTCACACGGCCAAGTTCAGTTCTCTGCTCTAACACTTAACAGGCTGGGTCGACAGGGACAAGTTCCTTAACCTCTTTGTGCCTTAGTTTCCTCATCGGTAAAACGGTGAGACTAATTCTAATAACGTGCCTTACTGTTACAGTGTGTCAAGCTTGTGGTGGGCTTCCACCCTGCCCCCCACCCCCCCGCCCAGGACTGTGGAATACTCTTCCCTCACCAGTCAAGTCATAACTGAGATGCAGCTCCACGAAGGGGAGAGGGGAGGCCCATCCCCTTCCGCTAGAGTCGTTTCAGAGCTCAGGGACAGGCGGCCTCTTGCACAGCCCTTCCAGCCTGTCCCAGACCCATCGGCCCCTCCTCCCAATCTCTCCTCCTGCCCACAATGGACCTGTCACTCCAGAGGGGGAAGCCAAGATCCCAGAGAGGTCAAGTGACGTTGGCAGGGTCAAGGATGGCAGCGCCGGCACTCGGAAAATCTCCTGTCCCCAGGGAGGGCACTCTTTTAGCAGTGCCACACAGAGCAGGGGAAATGATCCATGGGAGGCGAGGCTCTAGGTAAGCCTTGGAGGGGCACCTGATGCCGAGCGGGAACAAGGGAGGAGGTGAGGACTGACAGCATCCTTGTCCCCTAACCTCTCAGGCCCACTCAGGTGCCAGGTGTGCTTCCACTGGCATGGGTGGCATCTCAGGCCACTGAGTACCATGTCATAGGCCCTTCTTTGGCCCAAGAATGCTTCTGCTATGGGCTCTTGGACATTAATGTCACCTATAATGGCGGGATAATTCCTTCTCACCACCCCGCCCCCCCATTGGAGATGACCAACAGGTAAGTATTTTTTTTGTGAATGTCATTTTTGCAGGCTCCCCAAACACCAAAACGCCGCCACGTCCTCGGCACTTCAGCTAGACCGGAAGCTTCTGGAAGGCAGGGATCCACATTGCCCTGCATTGCATTCACAGTGCCTCGGCCAGGCCTGGCACACAGTAGGTTCTCAATAGACCTTAACATTCAGTTGAATAAACAATGCTAAAATATTAACAAAAATGACAATCGACAATCGACATCATCTCATCCTGTTAGAATGCTTTCGTTACCCTTGCAAACCTCTTAAATGCCTAGAATGATACCTGGTTCAGAGTGGGCACTTGATAAACGCGTAGAAACTTCCAGGACAAAAATCCCTTCTCTGTAAATATAATTCGGCTCTAAGCTCTGAAAGGATGGTTTCTCCCTTAAAACTCTTCTGTTTAAGATGAGATTCTCCCAACAAGACCTAGAAAACATTAGCTCTCCAGACTCCCAGAACATGTTCCCACTTTAAAACAAGCAGCATTTACTGAAACATAGATTCTTTCACTTTTCTTTCCCCTGTAATCAAACTTCTTTAATAGAATTGCTGCTGTCAGTTCAAGGGCATGGGTCCCCTTCAAGGCTTGTCGGCTCAGAGATGGAGAATTATAAAGGCAGTAACTCGACATTGCTGAGTCCAGGATCTTGTTTCCAGGAGAAATGTAACTGTCTGGGATATTTCAGGGCAGATCAAGCAGACATTTCTGCCATGAAAATTCGAGACAGTTTTTGACTCTCCAAAGCAGTGATTTATCCAATACTGGGCACTCTTGGAAAATTAGAATCAAGTAATGCTGCCTTTCTGCCATAAGGACATTATCGTCTGGGCTCCAGCAGAGAGGGGATGCGGGTTGTAAATGGCTTTGTCCTTGGTAGGAACAGGCTTCTAATGGTTCAGCCAAAGCGCCTTGCTCCGTGACCCCATGCGTACACTGGAGGGCTGTGGAGGGGAGTGAATGCCATCATGGTCTGAATTTTGCCAGCAGAGCTACCAGCTGCTAATCACTCTCTGTACCCACCCAAGTCTTCTGGACACACCCTGAGCCCATGAGGCAGGCACCGCAGCCACAAATATCCCTGTTTTCCAGATGAGACTCAGCGGGGCAGTGACTAGTTCAGGGACCATATAGGTCAGGACGCAGCAAGGGGATCCTGAGTTCCTCGTCCAGGGTTAAGGGCTGCCTCTAACATGGATAGAAATCATGCTGTACTGACTTGAAATGGAAGATTTGAATTGGGTTCTGATTCAACTACCCATCAGCTTGTGGAACCCTGGCCGAGTCGTTTAACCTCTCTGTCCTTCTGTTTCTTCAGTGGCAATCTGCTGCCATGCAAGGTGGTGAAATAGTCATTGTTACTGTGTGTGCATGCCCTGGCGCGGATAGCAAAGGCTGCAAGCAGGGAGATGGCCACCCTGCCCTCCCTAGCTGGCAGCTGGTAGCTGGGACCAGTCCATTCCCCAGTTTAAGAGTCAAATCCTCTAGAAATTGGCATACGGGGGGTGGGGTGTAGAGACCATGGAGCACATGCAGCAGGAACTCCACCCCTCCCACCTTCGTCATCAACAGCAACAATTTTATTTTTAATTTTTATTATTTTTAATTAATTTTTATTGGGGTATAGTTGCTTTACAACGTTGTGTTAGTTTCTGGTGTACAGCAAAGTGAATCAGCTATACATATACATATATCCACTCTTTTTGGATTTCCTTCCCATTTAGGTCACCACAGAGCAATGAGTAGAGTTCCCTGTGCTATACAGTAGGTTCTCATTAGCTATCTAGTAGTGTGTATATGTCAATTCCAATCTCTCAATTCGTCCCTTCCCCCTTTCCCCGCATCCCGGTTTCCACATGTCCATTCTTTACGTCTGTGTCTCTATTTCAACAGCAGCCATTTTAAACTGCAGGCAGCCCATACAGCGGCTTAAGGCTTTGTTTTTAGAAGCAGGTAACTTAGGTTTCAGGAAGTGCCTCTGTCCTTTACTTGTTACCTGCATGACCTTGGCGAGTTGTTTAACACCTCAGGACTGTGACCTCACCTATAAATGGGCACGCTACAGAACCTGCCCGCCAGGCTGCTGTAAGGATTAAGTGATACACATAGTGTATGCACAGCACTTATCCCAGCTAGGCTGCCATCACTCTGAGGACTGTTGACTTACAGACTCCTCCCCCCACACCAGGTCTGTGCCCGCTGTTCCAGAGGATGAGCCTTGGTTTGTGAAAGCAAAAGAGAAGATGAGATCAGCTTAGTGGGAAAAAGAGCAAGCGTGATTATACCGGCCACGTTAGGATCTGAATGCTGGCGCAGTTTAATCCCAGCTTCCGGAGAAAAACAACTTCTCCCCTCTTGGGCTTGCTGGGATTGGGGGCCCCCGGCCACGTTCAATGGTGGGATGCTTGCGGGTCTGAGAGGGGCCGAGTCCGCCCTACCCGCTCAAATCCCCACCAGGGAGAAGAGAGGAATCAACAGGGCGCACACAAGCGGCTTTCGAGGTCACGCGAAAGCCTTTAAGCCGCAGAAATCTGGTGGGGGTAGGGAAGAGATGTGTCTGCAGGTGGAGCTGAGCTCAGGAAACCAGAGATGATTCCAGCAACGTCCACACCCGGGGGCGGGCAGGGGAGGAGGAGGAGGGCAGATAAAGCTGCCAGCGACCCAGCAGCCACTCCCCACCCCTCTTTCAGCATTCTTTCCTGGGGACCTCGGAGCCCAGAGTCGGTTTCTCCGTCACCCTTGGCTCTGGAACATCCCCCCACCACTGTGTGCAGGGCAGGGGGGATGTGGGGCGGGAAGTCTGTCCTGCCAATTGCCTTCCTGAACACTGAGGGGGTAAATGTAAGGTCCCAGGGGACATCTGCCATCCCTTCCCCACCACTAGCTACTAAGTTCTCTAACACCTTATAAGCCAGACCCCTAGCGCACACCTGACCTTTCCTGTTGACACACACAGTTACATGGGTGAC